TATAATGCTACTGTAGTTTTATTGTAAGGGGGTCAAGAGTACAGCATAGTGATCCACCCTCGTGTATTTACTTTAAAAAATATATTTTTATACAGGATTCTCTTAAAAATTTACTATCGTCTGAAACAAAAATAAATACAAGCAAACTTGATAAATTTACATAAACAGAAAAACGTAGCTAAATTTTGTCAACGTGCATAAATATATTTTATGTATTTGAAAATTCTTCAAAGTTGGTAAAACAAAAATTAAAACGAGAGTCACTTATGTCTCCATTATTATTATCTGAATCATCACTATCGAAATCTTGTATATTTGGAGAGTTTAACAAATTTTATTTTTAGACCAGTCCCTCTTGCTGATGATCTGAACCAGAGATAACCAGGAGATGTAACTACTAACAAATATCGTGCGGCCGTGAATAAGACATATTCTAAGGGACACAGTAGGACATAATATCCGCTGTTGTCATTTTTAGTAAAGTGTATATATTAAAATATTCGCTCAAGAAAACGATTCACTTCCCACTCTTTTGTCACAAGGCTGAATTTTTCACAGATGAAAGGTCATGATAAGGTAACCCTTATTCCGGAGTTAATACAAAATTAGAGTGTGCAGAAGGGCATTATCATCAAAAATCCAGATATTGATACCACCGAATAGAGAAAAAAATACTCATTTTTTGATCAAATGCACAATAAAATCTTTGTAGGGAGTAATTGTTCATACTTATTTAAAAAAAATCATTTGCATTAGCACTTACGGCCGAAAAAAAATATAAACGTAAATATTTTGGTTTTAGCCCTTCAAAAATTTAGTTAAAAAGTCATCTTTTTTAAATATACCACTCATTTAACAAAAAACGAAGGCCTAAATGAAAAAAAAACATTCTTTATAAAATTTTTGCTTATGTGTTGACAAGATAACAGAGTAAACACAATATTTTTTGCTTTTGAATTAACAAAGATATAACAATAAACGATGAGAGATGTCATAGGTTTATGCTGTTATTAATTCTCACCGCCAAATTTATCGACTCTCAGTGTATCTTTCTCTTCACCTTCAAACGTAGCATAGCTCTGTTTCTCTCTACGTGCCGGCTGATGTATCACATTATTGATATGGTAGGATTTTTCATTTTTTTCATTATAAAACTTCTCGTTATGTTCCATTGGGCAATGTGTCATATTGTTATCTGTTTTTAGTAAAGAATTAATAAGTGTATGTGTTATATATTAAATTACCTAATAAATTGGGAAAAAATATAGACATTTTTGCATCTTTATTATATCTACATTCATCCTGTTGCAGCTGAATATATTTGGGTAAGTTATAAGTTTTCGTTTAAAATTTTAATTACGGATTTGTTGCTGCAAGTAGCAAAGACAAAAATGATACCAAAATAGGAAAGCCCAAAAGTTGCATATCATTTAAAGAACATGCTCATATATTTGTAAACATTATTTTTAGAAATTTTAATGTTCAAATGATAGATGTGGTATTTGATCATTATAAAGGACATTCTATCAAAAATACAACACGTCAAAAGAGAGGATTTCAGAAATCAATTGATATAGAAATTGACCGACCCAATATTTCACTTCCGCAATAATAGAACTTGTTTATTCATTCGATATTTAACAAAATACGTTTAACACATTTTTTGCTAGAGCAACTTCTTCAAAACTCGCGAAAATCAATAAATATGGAAAGAATTTTGAACCATCAAAAGACGATTTTTTAAATTCAAATCACGAAGACGTTAATAATCGTATCTTATTGCACAGCCAAAAATTCGGGGCATTCACGCTGCATTATTTATTGCAACGATACAGATGTCTTATTAATTTATTTTAAGAAGTTTTTGACTAAAGATTATTGGTTCAGAACAGGGCGAGGAGACTCAAGACGATTTCTAGCAGTACATTATTTAAATTTGGATGAAAACCTTCTAAAAAATGTGCCTGCTTTTCATTCTCTGACCAGTTGTAATACAACCAGCTAATTGTCCGGCACTGGGAAAAGAACCTGTTGGAAAACCTACCTTGAACACCATTACTTTTTGGATGGATTTGGCATTGATCAGTACTCTGAAAACATATTCTCTAATCTTGAAAGAATTTTCATAAAAATTTATTCAAAACTGCCAATGTTACTTCCATTAACATTTTGAGGGGATTATTGGCCTCTTCAAAAACCATCGCTAAATTGCCACCGACTGAAGATGCCCTAAGACTACATTGTTTAAGATGTAAATTTGCAAATGCAGAAAAAAAATATTTGCTGTATCGGTTCCTGCACCTATATGGCACAGCCGCTAATGTTTTGGAAAATGTTGATTCGTGTGGTGAATCTGATTCTCTGATTAGTTTGAAAGTCGTGTAATTATAAATTTTAATATTATTAATTTATGCTTTATATACTTCCTTCCATTTATTATTATTATTATAATAATTTATTTATATTGGGGATTTATTGTATTTTGCAAAGCAATAGCCTTACTGTTTATAATTGATACTTCAATAAATAGTTTATATTTTCTTATTTTTCATTTTCCACCAAAAATAAAAAAAAAATCTTGAAGTAATTAATACACCCTATTATTCATAGTGGATAAATCAATAAGCCCTGTATAAAATATTATAAGAGAGTCAAACTGATTGCATTCATTTCAATACTGAGATAGATGCATAAAGAGTCGAGAGGCTCTGCCTTTAATGTTTGCTTTCTAGTAAAACCATGACATCACTAATTGTTTATTGCTATATTTTTGTTACTTTAAAAGCAAAAAATATGACGAAAGTACTTTTACCTTGCCAATACATAGGCGAAACTTTAATAAAGAATAGTTTTTTTTCAGTTATGCCTTCGTTTTTCGTCAAATGAGAGGTATATTTCTAAAAGAACATTTTTTATACAAATTTGTAGACGGTTAAAACCGAGATATTGACGTTTAAATTTTTTTTTCGATCATAAGGGCTAATATGTAAATGATTTTTTTAAATAATTATAAAAAAAATACTTCCTACAAATACCTTATTGAGCATTAGAACAAAAAATAGCCATTTTTAACCAAATTAGATGTAATTTCATTAAATTAGATGTAATAATTTTCAACACATTCCAAAACCTAGTGATGTTAGATTGGAAGTGGCAACAGGGCTTACACCGGCATGGAAATTTACGTTATGTAGTATAAGCTCGCGCAGTTATTCATTGATAAAACTACGTAAAATTCTTCACTCTATCCCTTCTCTTACTTCTCACCTTTCGTCGCCTCGTCCCGCGTCTAGAAATAGAATGTATACAGTACGAACTATTGTTGGCACCATGAATATTATATTTTATGAATGACTGCTTATATCTCTGTTATCTCTGATCTGAACCTATATCTATAATCGATACCAACAATCGTTTCTTAGTGTTGTCAAAAGTAAAGCCTGTAAAGTCGCTTCAACTTTAGTTGACTTGATGTTACCGTTATTGTGATAATAAAATCTTTTTGGTAGCTTGAATATGCTATGAAGAATGTTTCCTGGTGCATTAATTCTAATAATCTGGTACTGGTTTATCGAGTCAACTTTGCTTCTATAAATAACTTTACCCGAAATTAGTTGTGGTTTGAGGTTTGAATGATTTCCTTTTCCTAGTACGTTTTGGACCAGTGCTCGTTTACTATCTAATCTTTCTCAACCAGTTTTAATATATACGATTGAAGGTAGCAGAGCCAAAACTAGACTTGTTGGCGCCTGTGGCAAATCACAAATTTTGCGCCTTGTCCAACCTAAATTAAGAACAGACGTAAGAACAAAAAAACTAAAACTGTCAAATAAATAATCTAAAAATAAAATAACTAAAAATATATTCTCTGAATAAAAAAAAATATTTAGTTTTAATCACATAATGACATATTAAATATACAACTTAAAATAGAACTTTTCTAGATTTAGATTCAGCAAATATGTTTATAATCTCATCATAATGTAAGTTAATTGCAGTCGATTTTTCAATTGAAATTATAGACATATTTGCTAATCGTTGTTGCCCTACAAGCTTAAGTTTGCTGAACGTACATCCGCACGTAGCGGTTGTCACTGTGTCAAAGTGTTTTAATTTGGAATTTAAATCTTTCTATTTCTGATGTGAATTCGTAAGTATTTAAGTCAGCAGGATTCTTAAGTGCAAGATCTGTGGCTTGCTTTTTTAATTCATCCAAAGTGGTTGTCTCGATGGAAACCCCGTTTAGGAATCCAAAATCAACTGCCACCTCTTTTAGAGCCACAAATCTTTTTTCCATTAGCATGATCATTGTATCAAGAACCTGCAACAATTTAACTCTTAACTGCGTGGTGGAATCAAAAGAATGAGATTCATCACTTGCTTTCTCCCCAGGAATTTTCTTTTTCTTTTTCGCTTTCGAGACTTGTGAAGGATTGGCTCAATGCCTATTTTATCTCCCATAAGCTTTGAAGACTAAATCAGTGGTGTAATCATTTTCTCTGTATGTTTTCATTTCGTCCAACAGTCCCTGAATCATTCAAGCACCTTTAGACACTTGTCACATCATGCTGCTTTTCTTGCAAGGACATTTTAATCCTTTTTATTTTTTTCAAAAGAATATTCCAAAACGTCAAGTAACAGATGAATTCAAATTTTTTTAACAACTTCAATAACTTCTTTGATTGCACAATCGTATCTCCAGTACTTTCTTCCGATACGCTGACCTCTTCAAGAATGTCAACCACTTTTTCAAGCTGTGAGTTTAAAGCATGCACAGCGTTATCTTTTGATGATCAGCGTGTATCGCTTGTTCCTTTTAAAGACGTCTTAAGTTTGTTTTTCAACAGTACCTAGCGGAAAAGTGATCCAGTGTTTAGAAAAACGGTTGCATTTTTGGATTTATCTGAGCTGCATGAACTCACACTAAATTAATACTATGGGCAGTACAAGAAATAAATCGAGCATTATCATTCAGTAATAGATTTGGAGCCTGAAAACCATTACTTACCAGCCATATTAGCGCAATTATCGTATGATTGCCCTCTGATATTAGTTGTATCCAATTTGTCAGCAATCAGTTTTTCCTCCATTAATTTTGCAAGCCCTTCGCCAGTTTTCTCGTGGGTATTGATGAAATCAGTAAAACTCTCTTCAACATGACGCTTCCTGTTAGAGTCAATATTAACGTAACGTATTATTTGAACTAATTGTTCCTGATGAGAGACTTCTGTAGTATAGTCAAATAATATTGAAACATATTTTACAGTCTTGATATTCTTAATAATATGCCTCTTTACTTCTGTAGCTACCAGACTCATTAACTCGTTTTGTATGGGAGGGGCAAAATAGGTCAACTGACCTTTATTGTGAGCCTCAATGTGATCTTTAATGATATTGTCATAGTGGCTAATCAGTTGAATTGTGTTTAAAAATTTTCCACAATTTGAATGACCGATAATTTCAGAAGTGCCTCTCAGCGCATGATTATGTTTTATGCAATGTAGAATGACATCAAGTATTACCTTCAACATGTGTCTCCACTTGATCTTCTCCTTTTGCATAGCTTTTAAAAACTGATCATCAATAAACCCACTTTCGTTCAATTTTTTTTCGAATGCCGAATATACTTTTCACGGTGGCTTACCGAATTTTCATAACGAGACAACAATGAATTCAAATGTTTCCAATGTTTAAATCTGGTTATACAAGCACTATTTCTATTATTTCACAATAATATTCATGGGAAGCAGAAAATTGAGTCTAGTTCTTTGCAGTATATAATCCATTTTCTGGCTACTCTTTCGCCATTTGCCATTATTTTCATTAACCACTAATTTTCAAATTTTCTGTTTTCTGTTGTCGAACTGATGCAGCCCACTATCGTGCGCCCTTGCCCATTGTGCCCCCGTGGCAATTGCCACTTTTGCCACGCCCTAGCTACGGCTCTGGAAGGTAGTACGTCAAGCAAACTTTATTAGAAACTGAAGTCGAGATTGTTTAAAGCTTTCTGGTGAGTTCTAATAAGGACGAAACCGATTCAAGTATGACTTTCTACTTGGAAAGCAAAATCAAAGTTAGAGTGCATTTGACAATTGGAACTTATTTCCTCTAAAAATATTGTACAGGAATAACATACTCCTAAAAATAAAAACTTGTAAAACAGCTTAGATTATACAAACCTTAGATGGAACATAATATACTGCGCATAATCCCACTTCGAAATTATTTACACCCATCAGTTGAGGACATTACATGTCAGATCGTTGTTCGTCCAAATTTAATGTGTCACCGAGAATTAATTTGTTATATTAGTGACTTAAATTTTATAAATTATCGTTGAAAATGCCAATATGCTTTATAATAAAAGTGCGAAGTATGACGGTGATAAAGAAAACTTACATTTATTTCGGTGAGTTATTTAATTTTTAAAGATTCTATCGACGGTCATATTGAAAATAAACAGAACTAGACTTGGTCATTGGTACATGTTATAAGTAGCAAATAAAGGTTATTATTATAAACTGTTTACTATTTCTTGTTTCATGGGGAATCTTTTTTTAGGAAGTGGAAAGAGTAACATACAATCAAATACAAAAATATCAATTTCATTACCAATTTATTTGTTTCAAACTCCACAACTGGTTTTAATAGTTTTTTCAAAACTATTTATTTAGTATTTCTATATAATAATATGGGATCGGTCCATTTAATTTATATTTTGTTTAAAGGTTATTATTTATAAGTTAATTTTCTTTAATATATATATATACTCTCTTTATACAAGGTGACCCAACGAAAACTTGATAGGAGTTTTGTGTATTAATATCATGGATGTTAAAAAACGCTCAGACAGATCGATTTTAGTTTGAAGGAGGACATCTTTTTATCATATTAACTGTCATACGTCATTTCCATACACTCCGTTACTCTAACCAATGTAAGTTAAATAGGGAAAGTGCCAGGTATGGCACGTCATTGAAAAGATCAATTTAAGGAGAATTCGGCAATATAACTATTCATTGGATTACTTTTTATTTTAACTCTCGATAGCAGCATACAAAACTGTTACCTATTGCAAAGTTTGTCACTTAATTTGAAAGCTAATTATATTCGAAATTTAATGCGTAGCATATTTTTTTATTTTGGTTGATTACACGAGAAAGTTTGTATTTCTTAACGTTTGAATTCTACAATTATGTAAGTACTTGTGTCATTTAATTATGTTTTGTTATGATGTCTATACAGCCCGACTGTGTTGTAACGTTATCCTGGCCATATAAATAGACAGCGCTGATAATATTCACTTCCTGCTTGCAATAATGTAGTTTTCACATGACTGACTTGTGCAAAGCGTATTGGAAAAAGTTCTATAGTCGATACCACAATGCACATAGAGGTTCCACGTGAATGACCAAGGTCAAAACGGACAACTGACATTTTTGATGCTATTTGCTCCAAACACTAGATGGAGCTACAGGTGAAATTGTGTTTTCTTCCTACATTTTTTTATGACATGTATTTGTATTCCGATTTTTTCGTCTTATTTTAGTGGTTTATTTGTTGGCTTTGGCTTTTGGTTTCTGCTTATAATGTCTTCTTAGTTATTTGCAAAACTGTGATGTTTTGGTTTTCTATTTCCTACTATGTTTTGCAATGATTTTGGTGCTACGTTGAAAACGTGGAAAAAACTTCATTGATCCATCATGCATCATAAAAAGACAAACGGGTACACCTAATTGATAATCAATTTATCGCTGGACTAGATCCCGAAAACATTTTTCACATAAAAGAGTATACCATCTGTATTTGGAAGGAAAATATTTTTTATCAGTTAATAAATAGTTCTTTTAATCCAATAACTATATTATATTTATCCTCAGGTAAAAAGACATTTATGAAATATAACTTTAGTGTTAACAAAATGTAATTGTAACTGTTTCCTCATTAAAAGAAACAATTTCTCCGGGGTATAATTGTCCTTCATAGAAAAACACCACAAAACGTCTTCTTTCCTGGACCACATTCTGAAATTTGGCGTTGGTATATAGGGAAGATTTGCCTTCTAAAAATTAACAAACTGGTTTTCTTTTTCTTGCTCTCTGGCAAGCTCTTCAGAATCAATATCATCTGAAGAGTTGTCATCGAAGACAACATCATCCTTCTTGCCACAGCGAGACGTAGTTGGTTCTTCTTGAGGAATCACCTCATCTCCAGTTACTATAAATTCGTCAGTTTCTTTATTAACCATGGGCTGATCGGTGCAAACACTTTTTCCAGTTGGAATATTCATTTTTTTTTCTGCGTTGTTTTACTGTAACTGTTACCTCTGATCTTTTGATCACCAAAGATTTGAGAAACTCTGATTGAACTATATTTTCATTAGGAATAGTTCTAGGAATCCGACATAGCACCTCTTCGATATTTAATGGACATATAACCTTATTTTCGAAACCCGGCTTTCAAATTGGCTACAGCTTGTGGAGTAATAATTTCCATCATCTTTGCTAATAATGATGGGAAGTTTTCTTTCTGAATATTAGTATGTCTAATACCGTCGGCAGTGTCCTTCCAATCAGATAACACTTTTCGCCATGCTATTTTTAGAGGGCGAAAAAATGCCACATCAAGAGGCTGTGTCAGGTGGGTACTATTCGGTGGAAGACAAATTAACTGTATTTCATTTTGGCGACACAGTTGTAGAGCATTTAGAGTTAAATGTGAAGATAAACTTAAGCCAGTCCGTAAATATATTTGCATCAAACCATCCAGAAGTACTGACATTGTAACGGCAGCCTTTAGGACCATTCTCGGTCCAAGTTGTCCACATTTTACTAGCCCGATAGACAACATATGGTGGCAATATTTCTCCTGCGGCATTTCCACAAAACATGATGGATATTGATGTTTTTGACGCATTTCGGATAAGCTCTGGATATTTACTTGCTTTCTTAACAAGAACTTTCTTTTTTCCTGGATCGTCAGTGACGTTTGTTTCGTCGAAGTTCCATATATTTGTGGGAGGAACGTCTTTTATTTCACTCTCCAAGTTGTCAAAAAAGTTTTTTAGCATTTTCTCATCCACTGCTGCTCGTGTCCGTTTAACGTTTTCTGCAAAACGCACTGAAAGTTCGGAATGCCTAGCTAAAAAAGCTCTTACCCAGTCTTGCCCAGGCATATTATTATGAAACGCGTTTACCTCTCTTCCACAGCGATTTAAATAATTTTTGGTAATATGTTTTAATTCCCTTGTATCCCATACTTTCCCAAAGAAATTAAGCAGTTAACAAAACTCTGCTCTTTATCGGAAGGCTGTTTTCCTGGTTTTCTTTGATGTCTCTCCTTAAGTTTATTAAAAAGTGTTCTCCTAGGTATATTATATTTTTCTTCCGCTTTTTTATGTGAAATTTCACCTCTTTTAATTTCTTCCAAATATGCTTGCAGTGTTTCGGCTGTGTAATCGGCATATCTTCTTGATATCAGTTTTCTTGTATACGTTCTGGGCATTCCTGTAACAAATTAAAAATTAAAAAAATGTTTTTTTTTTAACCATTGCACTTGATTGTTTAATAGACAAATTACATACCAATCGAAAGTATGAAGCTTGTAGAATATGCAAACGTTAGGTTGACTATTTTTTTCCAGTCATAACCATTGAGTAGGTAGGTATAAATAGGTAAGTCGATACTAATAATTTGTACTCGTCTGTTTAATAAAAAAGACTTGTGACAAAATAAAGATAATGTCCTTGCGAACACGGTGATATAAGGTTGTCTGCCAAAAATTTGTCTTGAATTCCGGTTGTCGGTTTTTTAAGAGCGAAATATTGCTGTGAATGAATACGCCCGATAGAATTGAAAAACGTGCTACTGCTTATCGTTGTTATTTATTAACATTATATTGTAATAAACAATGGCTAAAAAGTGTTTTTTGTGTAACTTAGACGAGGGTGTAATTGATTTTAACGTTAAAACTTTTAAAAACTATTAATTGAAATTGGCTTCTCGTAAAATAAGAAATTTTAAATAAAATGGGTCTCTCGATTTTGTTGGTTATCATACTACCACCTGTTACAAAAAAGTGACTGCTTTGAACAAAAAATAGAGGGAAGAATTTAATAATTTTAATGCTGAGAATACAGTAAGTAGATTTAATTAGGACTATGGGCCATGTGGCCTCCCCCACCTCGACCTTTTCAGATCTATTGTGGATATACAGTAAGTACATAATAAATGAATATTCTAAATTATGTTATTAAATACATCTTCTATATTTTTTTAATGAAATAATGACACATTTTGATTTTGTTTTAACTAAATAAAATATTAAAAAATAATTTTTTGAAAAATTTGCCCCTATGGTTTTGTTAATTTTCGACATAATTTCCTTAAAAATTGTTGTTGAGAATATAAACAAAAAATCTTTTTTGTAACATCGTTAATGAGGATATTTTTATTCATCTAAATCAAACATTTAATAAAAATTATATGTCAAACCTTTTTATTTAAACACAAAAATTCACTTTTAAGGTGCATGTCAATACATCTACCGCTGATGAAGACCC